AAATATTTGCTGATGTAGTCAGAAACATATTGTATGAAGCTCTTTTGTTAGATAAACTAAATTCAAGAAAAGTCTCCTCGAACTTTTGCCGTTTGTTAGATGTACCACGCTGCCAAGATTTATTTATTTATTTATTTACAAATACTACAGGCTCTATCCGGGCCCATGCAAGAGTGGCTACATAACTGTCCGTGAGAATGATAAAACTGTGATCAGTAAGAATCGTAATACTGTAATCTTGAAAAAAGATCGCAGTATGTATAACTAAGTAAATAATAGGAAAATAAATAAGCAAGCGTGATGAAATCACCCGAAAATCAATATTTAGCACATCTCAAAAATTTAATTTATTTTCGAAAAGAACAGTGTCATGCATTCTCGAAGTGTCTCAGTGTCGCTCCGTGGTTAGGAGGATTTCATTATGGTAATTTATATATACGGGACAGGTAAGGCTTGTGTGTTGGATCATTTGGTAATACAGGAAGTACGACGCTTCCCAGATGTTTCTGCGGCGCGTTGACTGCGTACGTGAAAGACAAGTGCAGGACTATTTTTTTGGGACTGCACTGCTTCTAGTCTCCACTCTGGTTATAGCTAACAGGCTTACGCGTTAAAAACAGAAAGAGAGAGAATGCGATACACTAAGCAAATCAATGTATGCGTAAACTAACATGTTACGCTCTGATTGAAAATCACTTCGCTGTATGCGGCTTTGTCACTTTCTGCGTGAAAGAAAAAGCAAGAATTACGTAAACGAGAACAACGTGTGGTAAGCAACGACACTTGCCTTTATTGCAAAGGACTGCCTACCTAAGTCCCCGAGCATGTTATTTCAAAAGCGTGCGCGCTTTCATCTGTATGGCTCTCCAGTGGCGTAACCGGGAGTGGGACGGGGGTTCATTAGGCAGTATATGTATAATATACATGAGCAGAAACTTAAACATGGTCGAGCCTCCAGAATTCTTTGCTGGCCACATCCATGGTTCTCTCGCAGTAGCCTGTGCATACACCCGACGTAACACGTGTCTAAGCTACTAGAAAGCACTGTCTCTTGCTAGATAAAGAAAAAAATTATGACAATATAAACAACAAAGATGAAATTTGTTGGTTGCACCGGGTTTCCAGCTTATAAAGGTGGTACCATTTCTGAGCTGGACTAATCGGCAGGTTAGGTATACCTGGCAAGGGAGGCTTCAGCCCCTAGTTCGGCATTCATTACTGGGCTCTTGAAGTAGCAATTAGTGTGACACGGTACCGATCAGACAGGGCTTGAAGTCAGGGCACAGCCCCGGCCTGGTGATAAGCGGTGCATACACATTTACACTCTCACTCTCAAACCCACATATAAGTGCAAGCATTCAATTATATGCCGCTTACATGAAGAGAACACCGTACTGCAGCATAATCCACCTCGCAGGACAGTGTAGTAAAGGGTGGGACGTCACAACGGCATTCATTCATTTCTCGCTCAACGGTGGCGGTCGTTATGGTCCCTAGCACATGTGTTCACGTGCATATGTATTCATGAAGAGTATACGGCTGCTATTACCACCACAAATAATAATAATAATAATAATAATAATAATAATAATAATAATAATAATAATAATAATAATACCTTTATTGGCACACAGAATGCTTGGGGTGTAATTCCTGTACGAAGCACGATATTTATTCCTTGCATTCATTGGTTCGATGCTGCTGATATTAGTTTTTGTTAACGCTCTCGCATTGAAGTTACCCATGTCCGTTCTCGTGTTAACCAGGAAGACATAAACTATATTCTGTGGCGCATACCTACATACTGTGGCTCGAGGTATGCGGGTATGTGCCATCGCGTGTGAAGGAATTGGTTTGGTGACGTGCGCGACGTGGATTTTAACGTGATAGTTAAAGAGCTCGTTTCGCAGAAATCCCGGTGTCACTGGTTGTGAGCGAAAAATCATCTTATGCGTGACCGAAAAATCGAGAACGATGCAAACAAAAGAAATAGGTCCATGAATAAGAGTGGGGACCGAACAAGGGCTGTTAAGGTCCGAGTGAGGATCGAACCAGGTTCGTTTGCGTGGCAAGCGGATGTTCTACCACACGGCCACGCCTCTGCGTGTGCAAACAGTGAAAAGAAGCGTGGCAGCTTGGGCTAGTTGGTATGGCATGACGATAGTTGTAGCGTGAGAACAAAAACGACGACACAGTGTCTCTGTGTCGTCGTTTTCGTTCTCGCGCTATAACTATTGTCGTGAAAAGAACGTTTCTGTTTGGAAATGCAGTGAAAGTAACTTTCACGCTTTACTGTGAACAAGCTTCACAATGCAACATGAAATATTGCAGCAATATTGCATGGTACAAGCATCCATTACCAACAGGCGTCAGAATATGTGATTATATCGTACATGGTACAAGCGTTCATTGCCAACAGGCGTCAGAATATCTCATTACCGTTATGGCTTCGTGGTGGAAATCCACTGCCCATTACAAAGGCACACACGCTACGGCGCCTATTCCCTTAAGTAAGGCCACGTATAGTAGGTGCATAGCAAATTCGAAAATGTTTCATGTACAAGTGTTTGAAATAAGCACTAGAAACAGGATGTCGCTGTCGCGTTTAACTCCTAAAGGCGAAGTTTTGCGGTCCCCTATTTTTCTTTCTTTTTTTTTTTTAACATCGGCAAGCATCGTTTCGTGTACATATAGTGTATCACAACAAAATCGGCTGGCACGTGTTCTTATCGATGTTACACCGCGCTGCAGTGCTTGGGATGACGCGCGGTAATAAGGCCCAACCAGAGAGTTCGTTGTGTCTTTTCCGTATCTATTGACTGATATCTGGGGTTTAACATCCCAAAACCACCGTATGATTATGAGTGACGCCGTAGTGGAGGGCCCCGTAAATTTAGTCCACCTGGGGTTCTTTAACGTGCACCCAAATCTGAGCACACGGGCCTACAACATTTCCACTTCCACCGGAAATGCAGCCGCCGCAGCCAGGATTTGATCCCGCGACCTGCGGGTCAGCAACCGAGTACCTTAGCCACTAGACCACCGTGGCGGGGCTCTCATTCGTATCGAGTGCCCTCCCTAACTTGGTGCACCCTTCAACATAAGCGCTGTTTAACAATTACTAAAAAAAAACCAACATCCCAGTACCTTATTTTTCACCTGTTCTTAGAGAAGTCGCAGAAAACAACTATAACCTAACCTTCCAGGCGTTGTCAAGCGCGCACACAACCCCGAGCAGGCTTATTGTTACACATTCCCCGATTGGGTCGCTAAAAGCGGCCCATACAGGGTCGCGGGTAGATCTAGTACTGAACTAATAGCGCGGTCGTCTAAATTCTCATCTGCGGAGAAATGCTGCCGTTTTGTTGTTTTGCCTCATCCAGTAAATTAGGTTCGGATTTGTAGCGCACTATGATCCCTCTAGGCCATCTTTTGCAAGGAGCAACGTAGCCCAGGCGCCCCGATTCGAATTAACCCTTCTGGACACCGACGCGTTCGAATTATCGGGGTTTTCTTGCACAGAAATACACAAAGCTGTCCTGGGACGAGGCTGTCGGTTCGAATTAACTACGTTTGAATGAACCAAGTTCAAATTAACGAGCTTTTACTGTACAGCCCACGATGTAGAACAACGTTGACGGGACCTTGCGAAGAGTGGGTAAACGCTCGTACTCCACCGTTCGTTATACAATGGCTCCGTCACATCCCGACAAGAACAGGCGGGTCATCGTTCCGGTGATAAAGGTGTCGTCCGCATAGCCGCCAAATCTCAGCATTCGCTCCACGGCCGACACACTCATACAAATGGGGCATTCGATTGGCCCGCGACGCCGGTAGACAGCGGCGGCTTCGCAGCGTGAGCCAGCCGTCGAGCTGACGCATCGTTCTGGATCGCTTCCAAGAAGTGGAAGGGCAGATTTTGTCCCGGTCGGCGACCACGACGACGCAACGCGAACTCGTTCGGAGAAAGCGGTCTTACGATGGCAAACCTCGAGAAATGTTCTTTTGGGGAACCCTTGAGTACCAGCTATAAGGCAAGTTTATATCTTATGACGCTCTGAGTGTTTGTTTCAACTCTTAATAAAATAAAACAAATGTAACGGTCGGAAGACGCTGTAGTGTCATTTTTCCGTTCTACTCGTACCTTTGTTTCTTTTTGCTCTGGTTTGCACTGAACCCTCGGAACGTCACGACAGAGGCTATCGCTACACGTTGGGAAAGCGAGTGTTATCAAACAGCACTATCAGCGAACGATGAAAAGAACAAACCGCACGCTTTTCAAGTGCTTGTGAAGGAGACGTTTTATCACAACGCGGATCTGCTGTCTTTCTGACGATAAGATGCATGGAAAGGGCTCGATAAGCTGCGTCACACGCGCGTTCACATGTCGAATAAATGTAGACGCACTACAACCGCTACAATTGATTGATATGTGGGGTTTAACGTCCCAAAACCACCACATGATTATGAGAGACGCCGTAGCGGAGGGCTCCGGAAATTTAGACCACCTGGGGTTCGTTAACATGCACCCAAATCTGAGCACACGGGCCTGCAACATTTCCGCCTCCATCATAAATGCAGCCGCCGCAGCCGGGATTCGAACCCGCGACCTGCGGATCAGCAGCCGAGTACCTTAGCCACTAGACCACCGCGGTGGGGCTACAACCGCTACAAGCGTGCTTTACGCAATGTCTGTTATTCCAGGGGGCAGAACAGGTGGTGTTACTGCGCTCAATATATAAATAGGTGCACTCAGCCCTCTTTTTTATCTTTATGTGCTTTGCAAAGTAATTGAACGATTGCATGTTTTCAGTAAAAACTAAAGCAAGCGCGGTGTTAAGCTCAGAAGCCGCATTCCGGGTATGCACATACCCTAAAACGTTTCACTGCCTCTCTCAAAACAAGCAACTGCCGGGCTATAGAGCGTTCGAATTGCCACCACAAACACGTGCGCGCCCTAGCCGCGGTGCATGTTTGCAAACTAAGACACGTGCGCTTACCATGATGGCTGGTGTCTCTCCGGAGGAGCTGAACACACACGCTTTACACGCTGCTCAGTGTTTCGGAGGAGTCACCGGAAGCAGAGGTGTCACCGGCCCAGACTGCGGCGCGGAGTAGAACAACACAGCAACCGCACTTTCAGCGAAAAAAGAAGAGCAGCCAGAGACGCCCACGCTCAGAAACCGGCTTTCATCGGGATTCCGTGCACGTAGGAGACATTAGTGCTGCCCACACTTAACTGTGGCCCGGGCGCTCCCTGGAAACTCGAATAGCGCGCGCACCGAGCACAAACATCGCAACACTACACATGGTGACGCGCCGTCGCAACACCTCGCGAAACCAGATTGGCGTCGTCTCGCGAAGAGCGCAGCAGACGACGACACGGCGAGCACAACTCTCTTCTGGAAGGTAAACGACAGTCGCGCAGCTCACGAGACAACCGAGGATCAACGAACCCTCAGAGGCTGCACACAAAAAGAAATCACGCCCGAACAGACCCCGTTGACAGGCGTAGTCGGTTTGTAGCACAGCGCACAACACTCAGCCGGTACGTGAAGGAACAAAGTCCGTCCTGAAGATTGCGCAGATGCGCCGCCGCCGCACCAATGCCGATCCGTAGCTGCGGCCGGACGCCAGTTGCGGGCCCACGCACAAACAGACGAATGACTGACTGCTTGGTAAGCTGCGCTACCGCCGCTCCCGCGAGTTGAGCGACGGAGGGGCACTCCCAGCTGGCTTTCCAGAACCGGGCGGTGATATCATATCGTCGCGCGCGAGTATACGTCACATCCGGGTGAGTGAGGGAAGACTTGCCGCGAGGAGCGGTTGTCCCTGCGAGCGGTCCGACGGGCCTTGAACGTGGCGGCGGTCGCAGCCAGCGCACGTATGTACACACACACACAAACGTCGCACGGCCGTTGTGCCAGCCTACCGGCAAAGTCATGTAGTGGGGGCGCTTTTGTTTTCCGTTACCAGCCCGAGCGCGCGTTTTCTCTTTCGGCCGCTTTCACCCCTCACTTCACGGTCGGTGCGAGCATATGTGGAGCGCGAAGAATGACCTTGATTGCTCGGACCTGAGCCACTCGGGGAAAGAAAGAAAAGAAAAAATGAAAACAGCCGCACTTTGCGAAGCGCCGAATCTCGTTTCCACTGTGATTTGCTGTCCTCTTATCTGTGACTAAGTGTCCGTTAGCGGCTTTATTCCTGAACGAGCGCACAAAAGCAAGCGTGTGCCGTTTCTGGTTAGTGCGGCGGGTTGTCGGGCGTTTGCAGCGGACGCCGTAGCCCGCGTCAAACGCAATAACTATTCAGACAGTTTTGGCGAGGCTGTCACTCCAGTTTTGCACACCCCCCCCCCCCTATAAGGTCGAGCTTTGAAGTTTGCTCGTTCCCATTAAATGCGGACACATCTATGCACTTGACACCAAAAACGGGGATGGGGCGAGGCTATGTTTAGGGCGCAGTTATACGATTGATTACTGCCACTACAATAATAACGCGAAGCTATCGACACAACCGAAACATTTAGGTAAGAACTGGGCCAGTTGCAACATAAGAAGCTAGCCAACCTATATGCTGTCTATAGATGAAAGATAATGTACCTTTATTTTCAAGCAAGATTAAGTCGTACTGTACACAGTTGCTGATATTCCTACAGAATTCGACGAAGTACGAGCATACATATACCTGTATTCGGTTTCGCAAGAAAGATATAAACGACTACACCACAGTTGTGGTACACCTCAAACGAAGAAAAATGATACTCCGCACCAAGTCAAGCGATGGGAATGGATGTTTAGTGATCATGCATGCCATCTTACATCCGAGTCTATAATACAACACCGCAATGTTTACAACTCCAAGGCAAACTGTAATCAAAGCACACAATCAACCGCAGGTCACTCGGTGGCAGTTGACACGTCCGTTCCTTGTTCGCCATACTTTGTTTTAATATCCGGCAGAGCGTCCTGAAGGAGCTTAGTCAAACAAAACGATAGTGCAGCACGGATTTCCGCGGCTCATATATTGCCAACGCGACACTGCGTGAGTCACAGATGCCGTTCAGCGATTAGCGAGCCCAGTATAGCCCGGTGTTTGCAACGCTGCCACCACTGAGTGAGGAGATTAGCGTGTGCACAAAGAACGATAAGTGTGCACAAATGGTTGAAAGATGATATAAGCATCATATGACCTCCGATCGCGAGCAATATCCTTTACACTTGCTCAATATTGCCTGAACGAACCGCATGTAGGAAAAACGCTGAGATAGAACTGCTAAACCTATGGGCTGTGTCAGTAATTAAGACTTACAATGAGGGACATGGAGCTTCAGACATAACCACTAAAAGGGTTGATCGTACGATGTAAAAACTTTGGACGCCTATTTCAATGAACACATGACGGTGGATGAACACGCAAACGACCTAAATAGTAAGTGTTTCAAAACAATTGGTGTGATGTACCACGTCTCGTTTGAATGCCCTACAAGAGTAAATACACTCTGTACAATACTAATTTTTACCAATACGTAATTATGGATTACTAGGTTGGAGTAGTACCACAAAGGCCCATCAAAAAGCTCGAAGCATTGCAAAAGTGTGAAAATAAATGTGGTTCCATTACTTTCCAGACCTCTCACACACCGGTGACCCTCTTATAGAAGGTCATTGTCCCGGTTAATTCCATCAACAACTATAACATATAATAGTACTTGGGCTTTCCATCTGGAAACTACGATATGATTATGAGAGACGACGTAGTGGAGGGCTCCAGAAATTTTCGCAATCTGGCGTTCTTTAACAGGCACTGACATCACAGAGTACACCATGTCGCCTTCATCAAAATTCGACGGCCGTAGCCGGAATCGAATTCATGACCTTGGAGTCAGCAGCCAGGTACCCTATATCCACCGAGTCGGACAACCATAACCTAAGCCGACAGTATAAAATCTGCCCCCGCATCCCCCCTTCCTGCACACGGCTATACCACTGCAGGGCAAAGGCCTCCGTCATGTCTCACCAATGAACCCGGTTCCGCGGCCACGCCGCACCCCCTAACGTGCTAATCTCGTCAAGGCCACCGCATTTAACGCCTCTCATTGAGACAAATTGCCAAAAATAGAAGGTTTTCGTAAATGACACATCGAAAATGTCCGAAGCCAGCCGCAACCACAAAAATTGGGTAAGTCCACCATTCCGGTGGTAACAGCAGGTACACGGTTCGTTTAAGAATTACGAATGTCGGCACTTATTAGTATTGCGGATACATTGTGGTAAATGGTGTTTGGTAAGAGCTGATATATGGATTTAATATAACTGTTTCCGGCACATCTTCACGGCGTTCTGTAATGAAACACGGTCAATGACCAAGGCTAATGAAGATATTCGAGGTTTGGAAACTGCATTCACTGAGCTGAGCTGGTTGTCGTTGTCAATTATGCAGCCTGTAGTCGACACAACGAGTGTGCGTAAATAGTAGGCATAGTCCCTGTGGTCCTATTCATTGCAGCTAGCGTTTACTTAATGATTAGTGATTTTAACTAGTGGGATGAAAATTCTCTAAGAATCTGGCTTTCACTGCGGTCTGAAAGCCGGACAATCAGAAAGCGTTATATCACATTAAATTTAGGGATTTGCAAACCACGATCCCGCACAGCGCTCGACCTCCTGAGGCGCACAACATCAATGGCGTTAACAGTGTCCTTGATTGGGCTGGTTAGTGCGTTGTAGTTGACGGAACGAGATGAAAGCGTGTGAGTGCATTTATCTTCTCATTTCTTGACAGCTGTTTTCTTCTTTATCTAAGGCGGAGCACCATCGAGAAATTTATCTCGCCACCTCCCCATATATCTGGCCCCGCCGCGGTGGTCTATAGTGGCTAAAGTACTCGGCTACTGACCCGCAGGTCGCGGGATCGAATTCCAGTTGCGGCGCGTGCTGCATTTCCGATGGAGGCGGAAACGCTGTAGGTCCGTGTGCTCAGATTTGGGTGCACGTTAGAAAACCCCAGGTGGTCGAAATTTCCAGAGCCTTCTACTACGGCGTCTCTCATAATCATATGCTGGCTTTGGGGCGTTAAACCCCACATATCAATAATTCAATCCCCATATCTCTTTTGTTAACCAAGCTGTACCCACCACGCTTAAAATCTGAATGCAGCCCCGTCCATGTATTTCAAAGAAACGGCTGGTGTGCACGTTTTATTCCCTTCAAAAAGCCGTTTTCGTGCGAAACGGCATCTGGGAATGTAATCTCTTCGTTCGTAGCGTATATGGAGAGCGAGCTGCACTATTTTCATTTATTACTCTTTTTCTTGCCTCCATTACGAGCCAGGCGAAGTGCCGACGACGGAATATTAATGATGCGTTTCCTTGCCTCCTAATGAAACTGGAATGGCGTTGTCACCCGCAGTGCGGTCCCACGAGAGGCATCAATAACACGAACATCCCGGAGCTTAGCACAGCCGGAGGAAGAGTGCGAACATTTCTTTGAATTCTGTTTGCCTGATAGTTATTCCTCACTCTCTTCCATACATGGCATGGCATTTAGCTGAAATCGGATAGTTTAAAGTGAAATGAAATTAAAACCACCCTTTGATGTTCTCGAATCAACGAAAATCCGTGAGGGCGAAAAAAAAACATGGTCGTAATTCATGTTTCATCACTAGACTTTTTTTCTTGTTTTCCCTGAGATTTAATATTTGCAGGGAAGGAAGCAATCACGCAGGACTAATTAACACATTGAAATACATGAAAGAGAGAACCTTTCACAAACATCATAATGTCGGTCGCATGGCTTCAGCGGTACATCTCAGAGTAAACACGTTGAAAGAACAGCCCGTAGCAAGCACGGTCGACGTCTGCCTAAACACCGAACTAGTCAGGAAGCTCCCCACGAGAATAGGAGCTCAAACAAACCATTTCTTGGTGGATGTATGTACTGTACAAGGCGTTTTTTTCTGGCTTATAATTGGTAATCTATAATTGCAAGCTTTATAGCGCGGAACTTCTTATACAAAGGAAAAAGAAACACGACAGGCACAAGCACTTGTAAGCTTGTAATTATGTACTCTAGCGTTTGATCTTTACCGGACGTGTTTATAGGGAGTTTTCAAAGAACGTTCCCTGAAGTTTGGGGCCCCAAAGCCCCTTGCATGTGCTCTATTTGGGCCAAGCAGGAGCTAAGACTTTTTTAATACGGTCTGCGTCACTTTGGACACTCTTCCTTATGTAGATCACTCTTAAAGTCTTGGCCAAGAGCCGCCACTGAGGGAGCCGTATTTTTGACCACCTCCGGAAATTTCGACCTCCTGGTGTTCTTTAACGTGTGCTTCAGTACCTGTTCTTAAGTGTGCTTCAGAAGGAAATCTACGACGCCGGCTTCAGTTCTGTACGAACCCAGAGAGAACCTGGTTGCGTAGCAATAACGCGTCGACATATACAGACGTGTCAGCAGCAATCGTTGTCTGTTTGCGCAAAACAAGCGAGGGTATGCCCAAAAAAACATCGGTTAGAAATGGCTGGGTTCCCTATGGGTATACAAAAGGTGCACCTCATCAATGATGTTGGGGGAAAAAAAGTGCTCCTCTTACGCGAGTTTATATACCTGACATAGCAGAGTTTCCACATATGCAGGCTGCATACGGTGCATTACCAACGCCCCACAGTGAGATTACTGCAAACACCGCGAAGCCAGAAGGAAAGCTTTCGTTTCCG